AAAACACAAGATATACACTAGGAATTGATTGCACCACCAGAGGACCTTTTAAGTGCCCAAAATGAGCCCCCAGGGGTGGCCCAGGAGGAGGTAGTAGGCACCTACCATATTGGGATATCCAAAAAAGCGCCCAGGTGCGGCCATTTGGTATGCCTGCCCTATTTGGAAGCCTAAAAAGCGCCCAAAGAGCGGTAAACAGGGACCTACAAGCAGCCTAGCCTCATTGACAGGTATTAACAGGGATTGACAGAAGTCAACAGGGAAGCCCAAATGGGCAGGATAAAATTAACAGGCATTGACAGAGGAGGCCCAGTCTATTTTACAATGGGTGGCCTTGGATTATATAATGGTGGCCCACCTGATAGACATTAAAAAAAGGTGATCACCAAATACACAATGCTAGTACCACGTTGGTGGGCTATTATATTATAAAACTGGCAACCACTGGTGTAGCGCCTGCGGAGTTTGAAACTCCGCCCGATCTCTCCAGATCCCCGCGACGTGTCGCGTCCTTTGCTCACGTGCTTACTTGTCCTCTTCCTCTCGCCCTCAGCCACCGTCTCGCTTTCGGTCGATTTCGACCTGCACTCGTTCGAGTGCGATAGATCCAGTAGGATCTATCCTTGCGCTCATATCCCTGGGTCGATTACGATCAGCACCCCGTGGAGTGCAACGCAGCTGCATTCTACTTCTTTCGCGGCAGAGCTCGCCAGGACTTGACGCCCATCAATCGACAGTACTCGTCCAGGGCAGCCAAGTCCTTGCAATGGTCATAGGGCTCCCATGTATGGTCGCCCATCGTCCATCTTACATGGAATTGGCATTTCTGCCCGGACCATTCGTGTCCAATGATCTCGTCGACCATCCATTCGGTGGTATCATCCGCCCCGAAATCGTAGAAAGCGCGAGCTTCGCGCCGAGGAAATAACGCGTCATCGTTAGCTTCATGTCGACGCAATAGCGAGACGTGAAACTTCGGATGAATGCGTCGATTCTTGAGCTCCGGTGGGAGCTCCAGCACGTAATTTGATGTGCTTGGAATACTCTCGAGGACCTTGTAAGGTCCAATGAATCTAGGCACGAGTTTTCGTGCACGGCCCTTCGGAACCAAAAGGTTCTTCGTAGAGAGGTACACCAGGTCGCCTACCTCAAACTCAGGCTCTGCCTGCCTGTGTTTGTTGGCATGGTATGCCTGGGATACTCTGGACTCTATGATCACGTCGTGGGCAATCTCGAGGTTCGCGAGTGCACGTTGCGCGAACTCGCGAACTCCGTGGAACGGAGTATCCGTTCCTATTCCACTCATAGACCGTGGAAGGTATCCGTAGTTAAGCTCGAAGGGAGCGAAACCCGTGGTGGAACTCGTGGCAGAGTTCAACGCGAACTCAGCGAGAGGGAGTTTCTCATACCAGTCGAGCTGGTCGGGGGACACCATTGTCCTCAGGATCTGGGTAATAGAACGAATTGTACGTTCAGACAGACCATCGGTCTGTGGGTGGAATGAGGTGGACATGAGTAGTTTCACGCCCATCAAGCGATGAAGTTCTTTCCAGAACTTGGACGTGAATTTACTGTCCCTGTCAGACACTATGGACTCAGGGAGTCCGTGAAGTCGTACAACTTCACGCAAATAAATCAAGGCAAGCTTGTCTGCCGTGTTCGTAGTGTTCACCGGAATCAAGTGAACCATCGACATTAGTCGACAGACGATTACCCAGATGTAATCGTACCCGTGAGATTTCGGGAAAGGACCCACAAAGTCCATAGACGTAGATACCCACAGCTGTCGTGGTATGGGCAAGTTGTGTAATAGCCCAGTGGGGAGCTTCGTGGACACTTTCGCAGTGTGGCAAATACCACAACTAATGCAGAACTTGTCCACGTCCTTTCGGAGTGCTGGCCACCAGAACCAACGCCGGACGTACTCTGATGTACGCTGAGGACCGAGGTGTCCTAGGGCGGTATGAGCCCTATCGAGTACTAGCTCAGGTATTGAGCGACCCTTGTAAGGGGCCCGCGGTAAGCAGACGACTTCTTCGTCTTGACAATTCTTAGTGTACAGTATACCGTCGCGCAGCACGAAGGAGCTGAATCCGGCCGGATTGTCCAGTACCTTGGACAATGTCTTGTCCAGTGAATATCCTTGACGTATGGCCGTCCAAAAAGCCTCGTCCGACTCTACGTGCTTTCGTAGGGAGGGACCACTGGCTAACACCTCGGCCAGTGTCGGAGACGACTGGGGGGACGTAGATTCGTCCGTCTCGGGGGTTCTCGGCTG